TAAAGATTTTATTTATTTATTTGACAGAGACAGAGACAGCGAGAGCAGGAACACAAGCAGGGGGAGTGGGAGAGGGAGAAGCAGGCCTCCCGCCAAGCAGGGAGCCCGATGTGGGACTCGATCCCAGGACCCTGGGATCATGACCTGAGCCGAAGGCAGTCGCTTCACCAACTGAGCCACCCAGGCTCCCGCAAGATTGAGAATCTTGACTCAACACACCCAGGTCAAGGTTCTCAATCTCGGGACAGGATGATAAGTGAGACTCTGTATCAAGGTGAATGTTGGACTGCATTTTGCCACAACAATGCTTTTACAAGGGAATCTGTGATTAAGGACAAGGTTGATAAAGCATCCTGAAATTGCGGGATATGAGAATTTTTGGCAAGTCTCTACACGAATTTGATGCAAGATGCACAGCGCAGCCAATTGATTGTCTTTCAGTAAAATCTCAAAGAAAGTACAACGTGATTTTCCAGCACCTGCTTTAGAGAGCATGCACTTGGAGACACTTTGTGATTCATTCAAATCTAGCCAATGCATTTCTGTTGCTTCTCCTGAGTACTTAGGGCTCATTCCTAGATTTAGGACTAGATTTATTCAAAATAATCATCCTTAAAACAAAACAAAACATTAATCACAGCTTCAGGGATCCTCGGGCATTCCTTTCAGCCATTAAGGAATCAAGGTCAATAATAATTTTATTCCTGTATGTAGTTGAGCCATGCAAGGAAAGAAGAAAGACCAGGTAAGTTTAATTTGAATTCTTCTTAGAACTATTAAGGACTGACCGAGTGACTGGAAATAAAACAAAAACTCGAATACAAAACAATTGTTAAGCAAAGGAGAAAAACAATCTTCTAAAATCTCTCTTAGATAATATGTAAATGTGCAGGCTAAAGCCCTTCCTTGTCCTGGAAAGCCATGTTTAAAGGGAAGCCTGATAAGATTGACTTTGGCGCCACCTGCTCTCTATGTTCAGCCAGTACAGCTTCCTCTGCAGGATGGAATTGAGGATTAAAGCCTATATTTTCCAGGCTGGAGCATAGAAGAGGGGATAAATTGATGTTTAATTTGAGCAATGTCTTAGAATTAAATTTGGGTTCCTCCTACATAATTCTTTATGTATTATCTCCCCTCTGTATAAAGTGAGTCTTGAATAAGCCTAAAGTATTCTCACCGTAAAGTCCATCACATCTTCTCCAACAAAACAGCATCAAATATTTGGCATACAAAATTTTGAAATTGTAGGCCAATACTAAGAATTCCTTTGGGTGACACTAGGAATTTATCTCAGTGGTCTTTGAAATAAAACCCTACGCCCTATTTCTCCAACACCCTAAGATGTCATATGTTCCACTAACACTAGCCGCTTAAAATTCACATGTAATTGATAATCATGGCATTGGGGAGAGAAGAAGGGCTGAAAGGGACACGGGTTTACACCTTCTTGCCCCAAATGATCTTGGTTCAATGTATGTATTTCTGGTGGTTTTGTCTCTGCTGCCTTATGTGAAGACTTGCTAGAGCTGGCCATAAACAAGGTGCTGACCCTTTCCTGGGAGTAAGCAACAAAGTGTACATAATCTCTGTGGATGCTGGTCACTGGTAGGGTCCAAGTCCCACAAGAATAGGTTTTCACAATTGAGAATGACCTGGGTTGTCTCATCCCCTTTGGGGCCCAGAGAAGAAAACATCTTCATGCAAGACAATTACCAATCCAAGTGAGTGGCCATGAGGACTTAAGGAGGCTGTTGTCTGGCCATACAGGTCTGGGGACAGATACTGTTAAGGATTTATGTTGGACTTGTAAAGAGGGCACCTCAGAATTGGTCATTGTTTGCATCGTAGGTTTCAGTTCATGAAGTTTTCCCCTGATTGCATTGCCTTTGTAGGGAGAGGTGGGTGATTACTGTGTCATGGGCTGATGGATGCATGTGGTGCTGTTCCTGGGAGACCCCAGCAGCTGGGTGTACTGCAGAAGGGGGAGGTTATAGGAAGACCTGTGAGAACACTGAGGCAGGGAGAATATTAACTGTTCAATGCTTCATTTTAGGAGATGCTACTCTATTTCCTTTAGCAATGTATCTATTTTAATAGCCAACAAGGGACAGTAAGTAGGCTCTCTGTCTCTTACGAGAGCCCAGTCACTGGGCAGGGAACATTACCAAAAGTGCAGCTCAGAAAGGGTTAACCATGGCCACTTAGGATATGGAAAGTGGGAGGGGGATAACTTGTTCAGTTCCAGAGATTTAAAAAGGAATAGCTGTCAAAAGTGACATAGGGGTCATAGGTTGGATCAGGGCTTTTTGTGACTGAGAAAGTTCACAATCTGGGAAACATAGTGGCAAGTATGTTATGGAAATTATTATCACAAATTATTGAGATGAAATAAACTCAAGGGTATAAGACTCCAATATATGGCTAAGAAATCTTAATTTTAACATACAGTAGGTAATCAGAAATAAGAACCATACCTTTTTGCTTGAAGTGCACGGTGGTGCCAATTTCTAAAAAAGAAACATTTAGCAAAACAAAAAAAAAACAGATAAAATTTTTTTTATCAATTGAGAATAAGCACAAAGGTAATCTGGTACTCTCCACTGAAAGGAGAATGGGACAAAAGGTGGAAAGAACATTCTAATAGGAACACGTACTGGTAGAGATTGAAAGAAAGGCACACGGAAAGAGATTGTTTTGTTGGAACAAATGTTGTTCAGTGGGAGGTGGCAAAAATAATTTCCAACTACAAACACTTGATGCTACATGTTATGTGTATAGACAAGTACAAGAACTCTGAGAATGGCATGTAGAAGTACTCTTGACTGCAATTTAATGGGATGATAGAATGTGTCTGGCCTCTAACCCCCTCCTGCCGTTTTGCCCCTGGTTTACTCCACTCAAGCCAGCTGACCTTGCTTTTCTCCTAACATACTAAATCCTTTCCAGCTTTACAAGTTGTGCACCTGTTGTTTTATGCGCTTGCAATGTTTCTTCCCCAGATCTCTGCATGGCCCACACAGTCATTTCATTCAGATTTCTACTGCAAGGACACCAACTCAGGAAGAACTTCTCCCATCACCTTATCAAAATGGTACCCTAGGTCACTTTCTATTCCTCTACCCTGTTTTATTAATATTCTTAGCATTTATCACTAGTTGGTATCATTTTATAAATTTACTTATTTGCTTGGTTAAAGTTTATCTCCTCCATCAGAATAAATGTTCTTGAGGGCAGCAATGGCGTCTGACTTGTCAACCATTGTATTTCTGTGCCGAGATTAGAGTCTGACATGCAGTATGTGTTCAATAAATACTTGTTAAATGTATAAATCTCAGGGTTGGAAGAGCTCATAGTGGTCAAACACATGAATTCCCTTTTGAGTAACTTTATCAACTAAACAACAATACTGTTAGATCTTTAGAAGTAAATGTGGAAAATTTCCATAGGCTACCACTTTGATTTTCAAGACCAACTGAATGGTAAGTTAGGTATAGGAGCCCAAACCATGGCTGTGGGATATGGATTATCTTCTCTGTGATCAGGACATGACCTTGCACCCCCAATAACACACTTTCACTAAGGAAGTAAAGTGACTGAACTCTGAAGCTAAAGAGAGCTTTTTGAATTGGACATCTGGTTACCTCATTGTCCTGCTTGAAAATTGTTCATGCTTTCTTGCGTCTTCCAGGATAAGGACCCAAATCCTTAGCATGGCATCCATGGCTCTCCTCCCTTATCTCTCCAGCTTCATCATCTCTGCATCCCAGCCCACAAGCCTTCCTTCCTTCTCCATGGGATCATGTTTTTTGTTGTTGTTGTAGGGCTAATGGCCCAATGTTATCACTACTAGAAATCCCACTCATCCTTCAGAAGTTAGGGAAGTCTTCCTTAGTCTCCTTAGTAAAATTAAGTCCCTTTCTTATAAGCTCTGCTCTCCTTCATGACACTCATCTCAGTTTTAATTTTAAATACCTTTGTCTGATGTTTTGATTAATGCTTGTCTTTGCTACTGGACTGTGAGTTCCAAGGAAGCAGGGCTGTCTCTGCTCCTGTTCCCTCTTGTAGTATGGCCAGTGCATGAAGGCACTCTGAATGCACAATGGGCCAGAGCAGATTTAGAATCACTGAAATATGAGAAAAATAAATATAGGCCAAGCATCCTCCTAACAGAGCCTGAGACTGTTAAAACAACAAGAGCCTGAGTAGCTAACTTATGACCTGATTTAGCACAAAGATCTTCAGAATTAGGTCTGCAAAATTTCTGGGGTTCGGTGCAGTCTATTTCCTTCACAGATTTTCCATTTGTCTATCCAAAGGAGGTCACAAGGAGAAGCCCTCAAACAGCATGTAAGCCAGGCTGCTCCCAACAGCAAGCTGTATCTACACATAAGGACAGTCTGCCTAAACTGGTTAGATGTGGGTTGGGGGATCCTAGTGTGAATGTTCTTTTGTATGATGATTGCTGGTGGGCCTCTAGCTGCACTTCTGAAGATGCTCAAAGCCACTGGAACCTGTCCTTCTGTCTTTGAAGAGTTAGTCTGTTCCTTGCACAGGTAATTGAAGTCTTCTGTGTGGAAGCCTGTACAGAAGGATGTAGTGAGAATTCTGTTCCTCTCTTAGCAGAAGCCAGAAACCAATGTCACTCTTACTCCAGAAGTGAAGCCAGATTCCATCAAGATAAAAAAAAAAAAAATCACTGTTTTGTTTATAAAACAACTCTACCTATTGACTATGCTGATCATCAGACTACTGATGTTTCAATTGTGTATTAAACACACTGCCACTTATTTTCTTTCATAATACCTACTCTGACTACTTTTCTTTGAAATAAATATGTTGCCTTAAAAATTGTTGAAAAGGCACTGTAGAGAACGTACTTAGAATTGTATGATCAGTTACCCAGGGTCAGAGTAAAGCTGAGACTGAAATTTAGGGCTCTTACTTCTCCAACTAGAACCTTTCCACTATCCTACAATGCCCCTCTGGTGTTTTTAGGAAAGTAAGGCTATGGAACTATAGCCTATATAACTTCAGGGTTCTTGCTGGGATATTTCAATGATTCAGTATCAACTGGGGACAGTTTGGCTCTACTCTTGTGCAAAGGGCAACTTCCCTTCTTTCTTTGGTCAAATCTTTCAATTTATCATTCTTTGGAATTTATAAGGGTGCTACAAGGTCATGGAATGATTGTTTTTCACCCAAAGAGGCCTAGATCCCTAACGGGACCATCTTTATGTCAAGAATACTTGGTTTCCCCTGCTCCATCCCTGATCCACAGGCCTCATGGGAATAATTCCAAGCAAGTGTTCGGGAACCTGGGCAGGCAGGAAGACCAATGGTTCTGCTTAAGCTAGAAAATATCACTCAACCTCTCTTTGCCTAAGTTTCATTATCTGTAAAACAAATTTAATCAACGTGCTCCTTATAAATTCATGCTACTGGTTAGATAAACTAATTATCATACTGTACTCAGAATGCTGCTAGATACATAGTAAGTGCTCAATGAATGAGAGTTATTGTTATCAGATTTGTGGTAAAATCCCCTTTAGAGAGGACTGTCAGTTTGGTGGAAAAGAGAAAAATATATCTTAACAAGGAAGCTATGGCAGTGCAGATCCAAAGAATAATAATAACAAAAAAATCTACTGCAGCAGTAAGGATGAACGAAACATCAAGAGATGTTAGCACACTGAAGTGATAGGGAGGCAGACTGACCAGGCAGCATTTTGGTCAGGAGAAAACCAGCAATATGCTGGGTGAACCAGTCAGTGACACAGGCCTGGATAAGAGTCTACATGTCTAAATATTTCTCTTAGGGAACAGAAACTCCCCTGCTAATTAATTAAAAAGTGTTCATTAAAAGAAGGATTTTAAAATTGTCCAAATATTATACTCTATGAAGAAAACAGCACAAAAAATCAGATAAAAAATATGCATTTGCTTGAAATAACTTTAAAAGCAAACTAGGTTATGAGTTAAATTTTAGGAAGCCCTCCCTATTGCAATAAATAAACCGGTTTGTGAAACACTAATGATTTTTTTTTTTTTTAAATTCAGGTTAGTTAACAAACAGTGCAGCACTGGGGTTTCAGGAGCAGAACCAGTGATTCATCACCCACATACAACACCCAGTGCTCATCCCAACAAGTGCGCTCCTTAATGTCCATCACCCCTCTAGCCTATCTCCCCCACCCCCTTCTCCGCTAGCAACCCTCAGTTTGTTCTCTACAGTTAAGAGTCTCTTATGGTTTGCCTCCCTCTCTGTTTTTATCTTATTTTATTTTTCCTTCCCTTCCCCTATGATCATCAGTTTTGTTTCTTAAATTCCACATACGAGTGAAATCATACCATATTTGTCTTTCTCCGACTGACTTACTATGCTTAGCTTAATACCCTCTAGTCCCATCCACGTTGTTGAAAATGGCAACATTTCATTCTTTTTGATTGAAACACTAATGATCTCAAGACTTGGAATTCCATTTATCTTTAGGAAAACAAAACAGAGTGCTTATTTTGTACTATTATTTCCTATTCATCCTCTCTGTTGGAATAGAACATTCTGTTTTGAGAAGCAAAACCTTGAATGTTTTGAGCCTGGCATTTTGAAAACTTGGTTGTGTGCTGCCATCTTGTGGTAATACAAAGATATGTTCCTATATGCTGTCTAAAGAAATTGCCTTTGTCCACCAGGTGGCAATAGTGGGAAAATTAAAAACTTTTTTCAGTCAGAGCCAGCACGAAATGCTACATTTCCAAAAAGACTCTTTCCTATTCTTACAGAAAAGAGAAAAAAATTTGTTGTCCTTAAGCAACTGAGAATTATTCTTCCCTTTGTAGTGCTAAAGTGATTCCAAATTCTTGAGTAAAACTGACTTGGCAAGGATATTATTTCTGTAGGGATTTCCTGGACACACTCATTAGAATACAGTTGAAACCTATGATTTTTATACCTCTTAGGTATAAAGGTACAAAAAGTACATGCTTTAGCAAATACATTTAACAAGTAAGCATGGCAGTGCAAGTCCAAAGAATAAAAAGATAAATCTACTGTAGCAATACAATGAACAAAACTTTGTGGGTGAGTTTAGTACACAGAAAGTTCTAGAATTCTCTAGAAGCATTATTGCCAAATGCTTAGACTTTAGTTCCTGCTGATGGGGTACAAGGAGGCAATGGGGGAAAGAATTTAGTACTAGAAAAGGCAAGTGTCATGACACATTTATTCTAACCTGTCTCTGACTTTTAACTTTCAGATTCTTCATACCCATCCATGTTAGACAAACACGCAGCATCGGAAAGAGCTGATTCAGCCTCTCAGTTGGCATAGACCGTGTCTTTCTTGTTCACTAGTGTAGTCTCAGCTCACTATTTCTCTAGCATGGAGTAGGTGTCCAATAGATTTGCTGAATAAATGCCCATGCATAGATGAGTGGATGAAGGAATGAAAAAATGAAAGAGCAATTGAATCATTTAGTACCTCAAGATCTATCCTAGCTAGGATTCTAGGTAGAGGAAGATTCTGTTCTTCTTTTGGAACCACCATGCCTTGGT